TCAAGGAAGCAAGATTGCCATAGTAAGGAAATTCTTCATTGGATCGTAAAATAATTTGGAACCTAAGATTTTATCTTCCAATCGGACAAGTACTACGAAATCTTATTATCTTGTTTTGATTGTATTCTTTTAAAGATATTGTGGTGGAAATAGTCTTATCTAGTCCGCATTATGACGCAAATGATTACGTACTAATAATAACAAAAATTGTAATCAATGATAAGAACAATTGACAATACATTTTTAAATATCTTCTAGACATGAAATAGGGCTGCAGCCTTTCTGATTTCTAGACCAAAAAATAGTTTAACTAATGCAATTAATGAGCTAATAAGCTTATTATATTGAACATGATGCGGTTGTTATTTTTTAAACACAAATAACTTATGCGAAACATAACGCTTATATTAAAAAACCTATTGAATATTTTGCGCTTTGTTTAGTTTATTACTGTAGAGAATATAACGATGTTTTAACATATACTCTTGGTTCAATTTTATTACAACATAATATTTTGATACAGTGTAAACCTACACTAACGTTCATTTTGGAGATAACGGAATTAACAAGCATAATGCAATTTTAACTACGCATTGACCGTAACGGAAATTTACTTGTAATTTATAATGAATCATGTGTACTAATTATAGTGTAATACACCGTTAGAACAAAGACGCGTAGTGGATTACCTTTATATTTTACCTCCTGTTTTATATAAAAGTACACAAGTATATAATATATGTAACAAATCTTTAGTCTATTATTTCTACAGATGACTATTGCAAGCGATTTCGTCCACGCGATATTATCAAGGCGGAGGACCGCATTCTGTGGAAGGCATTGGGGAAGGCATATGCCTAGCAGTTGGCAAACAAAGGCTGATGATGATATCAAAAGAGTAGCCTATAATATGCCCGTCTATGTCAGCTACCCTTCAGTGAAAGTCCGATCAAAATCCAAGCCCAAGAAAATCCCAGTCAGAGGAAATCCCAGCCGTTTTGGAGTGCACGGAACAAACGCGGCTTGAGGACAGACAGACAAACATTTTGCATTTTGCAACACAAATACATCTTCCCGAAATCTGAATTGTTTCTTTTGATAAGACATTCCAGTTTTATTATATCTATACAATAGAAGATATAGATGAAGTCCTAAAATACAGACACTCTCTCATTTGAATGCGTCAATGGAAAATCCACCAAGTAATCTGTTTTTAGAGAAAATAGTATATAATCTTTTATTAGTCATCCTCATTACATGCATTATCATTATTAAACCAACTCAATGGGTTTAGGACAGCTTTTTAGATACAAATCGATAGACAGTATTAATAAATAATAGTCACAGATAAAAAAATACTGCAGGTAATTAAGACGCGCCTGACTCACGATTCACGACATTGCAAAAAGATAACATAGACAATTTTTTAATTTTTTCAGACAGAGTTGACTGTTGTAAGTTAAAGTATCAACTCATCTAACAGAAAAAATAGAAAAATTTAATGACATGTGATTTTAATTAGAAAATTATAAAGTTTTTTTTATAATTTTTCGGAAAAAAATTAATTTAACTGTAACATAAAAAAATTATTGCCCATAAATTAAATATGCATAACGCTGATTTATTTATTTTTAGCTAAAGAGCAATATTTCTGAGCAGTGGATACCAATGTGAGGCATTTTTTTAAACAAATAAGAAAAAGGAAATAACCTACAAAAATTACCATATGATCTTATCAATTTTGTATCAATCAAAACTTATCTGACAACTTGGCACACACAGATTGTTAGTTCCTTCCTAGATTGAAAGAGCCATACAATATAAACCCTTATTGTAATTTATTCAAAGAAGTAAAAAATAATTCAAACATCATCATAAATCAATCAAGCAATATGCTGACTAGTGCTATCAGCATTTCATGGAGAAATGTTAATTGATTTTGCAATGTATCCAAAATATTTACCCCTAAGTTTAACGGCGTGAAAATGTATAGCCTAAAGCGTGACGTAAGTGTAGGGCTTTTTATTAAAGAAAGAGTTATTCGAAAATATGTTGTGATTGCTGACATCTTAGGCAACAAAAAAGTGTGTGTTTATGCTTTATTATATAAGTATAGATAATACAGAAAGTTTAATAATAAGCTTACCATTAGCATCCGTCTCCTCTTTATTATCAATTTTATTGACATCTATAACTGAGAGAGATTCAGGTACTGCGAGGCTCTCATCAAAGTCCGAGTCAACACCGGCCAGAGAGTCAAGCTGTTGGAAGATTCCGGGCAGACAGTCACCAGGGGTTGTAGGCGTGGGGGTCTCCATGCCGTAGTTTGTGTAACTGTATTGTTCTTCATCTGTAAACAATGACAGTGTTTATAAAGTACATGCTGCAAATGTCTAGAGTAAACCTAACAGTTAGAATTATGCATATGTAGCGGGTGGCAGTTATTTTATGTTTTTCATGTTTCTTAATAGGACCAAAGCTATTTACAATAACTTTCGACTGACACAAGTTTAAAATTTTGAGTGAATGGGAACAAAGTATTTAGGAAATTGAAAGTATGATAGTACCTAAGTCTTATCTAGGCAACTGGATCTGAGATAGCAAATGGAGTAGTCATATGTAGGTAAATGTTGTTCATACAAAAGTACAAAAAATGGGAAATAATTCCAACCAGACATTGTAAAAGCATTTTATAATTCAATAAATGTTCTTAATGGATAGATTAGATTTGATTGTAGCATCCGTTGATAAAATTTTTACTTCCTTCTTGGAATATGTTTTTGAGATTATCATTGTTAAATCAATGTTAATTTTGTTGTTAATTTTAAAGAGAATTTATACAATTATCTCTCCAGCAAATATTCAATAGTTTTCTAGCAACAGTTTTAAAATGATATGTACTAAGTCGTAAATATTAATAGACAACTGGGTTAATTAGATTTTAATAAGAGTTTTCCTTTTAAATTGACAGAAAAAAGCATTAAATGGATATAGAATTGTTTATTGTTGTTGATTACTAATCTGAATTTAATTTTGTTTAAATTGCCAACATTTATTCTCTTTAGTTTACTTTATATGGGAAAGGAGAGGAACTCGGGACAAGGAAAGTAAACAATGTTAAATATTACACAACAAATGTTTATAAAGAACTTGCAAAAGGTTAAAGTGGCTATTTTGTGTACAAAATGTTACTTTTTATACAAGTAATTTTAATATTTGTAATTGATGGTACAACAAACATTTAAAAACAAAGATAACAATTACAAGTTAAATATTAAATGTTAAAAAGTAAATATTTGCTACTCAACGGTTTCAAACACATTGATTGTTGTGGTTCAGATAATCCAGAGTGATACCAACATAAATGATAAACCTTTTGTTTGCACATAAAAATGATTAAACACATTTTGAACAATAATTACACAGCACAACACACCTCTCTTTATAAGGTTATGGAAACTTAAGGTTAACTCATTTCGTTCCATACTGTAATAAAAGTGTTGGACAACACTAATAATTTCACAGTTACATTGATACTGACTGCTAATGTTCCATCCATTACACGCTATGAATTTACCACTTGTGTACACAATCTTTTATTGATAAGATAATGGCAGTATTGCATTTGTTTTTCGTCACTCACAGTAGCGAGACGTTAATAAATATATAGAGAAAAACTACTAAACTGTCCAATAAATTCGATGAGCATGACCTACCAGTGAACAAGGCTGTATCCAAGGTTGGTTATTGAGAGAAATTAGACAAAAAATAAGAACTTACAAAAGTTTTGATTTCTGCCAATAATTCCAGTCGAAAGTGTTTCTCACTTGAACACTTAAACACAAATACCGTGTAAGAAACACTACAGCAATTCTAATAACCAGATCACTGTTTGAATCATGGATTTACACGTTAGTTCAAGGATATTTACTATATCCGACCGACAATGGCCTTATTGAATGAAATGACGTAATGGAATGGTGGTAGAACTTTATCCAGGGGTTCTAAATATTTACGAAAATGAGCAAAGAGTTACCTTTATATTACAGCATCTTAACTTTTAAAAATAAATGAACATTTAATTTGCAAATATATTATAGCAAATATAATGTCTCGTCCTGTAGTAGGTCTTGTACATCAAATTACACTTTTTATTTACGTTTATTATACTATCCTTTTTATTATCATCTTATAAGATGCAAAAACTATCGTCGATTTTTTTTTTTAACAAATCAAGAGTCAGTCCAGTACTAATCTTTCCTAAAAATGTTTACAATTACGGAACACCTGTCAATCTGTCAAACTTTGCTTGGGGTTGGGCTCGAATTTGATTTGTAAAGATAAAACAATTTTTTTGTTTTTCTCGTTTTAACGAAGTTAACCTTAACAATTAAATTAAAATCAATAACAGTTTTAGTTTAAAAAAAGCATACCTTAAACGCCTCAGTTAGGTATAAGCAGATTTGAGGACTCGATAAATTAGTTACTTTTTAACAGGCGCTATTTTAAAAACAGAACGTTATTTCTTTGACGTAGTATCTGCCATCTAGTGTCTATTTTTTCAAATTGTGAACTTGTAGAAGCAGATTTTCGGACCCAAATCAATTTCTATTGCGGTAATTAGAGTACCGTAGAGACAAATTTGATTTAATTTGATACTTACAATAAATTAAACGCTTAATGAAAACACAAAAAATGTAACAGCGCAGTAAAAAACTCTTTTCTATTAAGTGAAATAAAAAAGCTATTATAATTTGTTCACCTTATTTTACTCTATCTTTCGCCCGCGACTACGTCCGCATGGAATAAAAAAAAATCAAAAGTGAGCAGTCTATGTGTTCTTCAAGACTATCCTCTGCACCTATTCCAAATTTCATCGAAATCCGTTAAGCCCTTTAGGCTACAAATTCTAACAAACATGCTTTCATCTAAACTTTCGCATTTATAATATTAGTATGATAATGTGAATTTAGAAGTATGGCTGCAAAGAGCGAGGTGAGCTTCTAGTTCATAGAAATTCGTGCAGCGTGGCTGATTCCTACTAACCGTCGTTTCTAAGTTACATATAATAAGAGATGCAGTCTTAAAAGCGCTGATACATTCATTTTACTATGTATTCAGGTCAGGACATTGTGCTATGTGTAATAACAGTTCACATTTGTATTCTTGTAGTCCAGCAGTTGTTATACTCTATCTTTATTAGTTATCTGAGCGTATCCGTTTACAAACAGTGTGAAAAATTGCTGCTGAAACAGTTTATTTTGTATTCGGTACAAGTAAAGGTAACCAGTTTAGCTTTGTACACGTATAATAGACTGGTACCAATTATAGTTGATCCGAATAAGTGTGTACTTATGTACTTGTGGCGGTGCTGTACCGGAGATCAGGCGAGGGTGGTGGTTGAAATGATATCAGGGCCGATATGTTGGACACGGCAGGGTGGGTGTAGCGAGCGCGCAAGTGTCCGCAGTCGCTCACCGCGCACCGATCGCTCACCGCGCTTCCGAACGCACGTTTGCTATGTACGCACACTTCCCGCCATTATTCGAAACTGTCAAACCGCAGCTAAAAAAATAAAGAATAAAAATTTTACTCAATTCGCAATTGTTGTGCAGTAGAGCGTTAAACGAAAACTCTTGACGGCCAGTTGACGAATTACGTCGAGGCCGTTGACACTTGATCCGCGTTTTATTTTCCAGGATTTGTTAATTTCAAAAATGTCGCGCGTTAGCGGGAATTGTGCGTATTGTTATTAAGTTTTTTTTCTTAACAGTGAAGGTGACAAAGGTGTTTCTTTATAGTGCCAGGTGGAACGATGGTGAATTACACATAACAAAATAGTGGTTCAATTATTTGCTGTGTTATTGTACAACGTTTACTAAGGTAAGGAACTATCGAAACTTTTGAAAATAGAGTCAACATTTAGCATAATTCCGTCTGTCGCAATTAGTCTTTAGCCGTAGCACAATAAGATTGATAATTGTATCTTTCGCTTTCTAAACAGTCGACCATGAGTGTGACCAGTCACGACTACTTATTTAAATTCGCCACAAGATAATGAAGTTTTATCTGTAATAAGTTGATTATAGCATTAGAAATAGACACTGGAATCACATCCAGATCAGTCAGTATTTTAAACTATAAACATTACAATTTAACAATCGTATATTTTTTTTAAATAGGTAACTATGTAAAATTTGCAAATTGATACAGTTTTACGAAATCAATAGGTAAGAACGTTGCATTCGTATTTCGTACCGTAACAATTAAAGCGGCGAAGTGGTCGGCCCCGTCACAGCAGATATAGAAAGTCTACCGGTTTCAACTTGGTTCCCGGATTTAAATCTAAAAAACATTTTTAAATATAAAAAAAAAAACGAAATAGCAATTTCTATTATCAAGTTTACGAAGTGTTTGTTGTTCTCGTAACTAATCAATCGTAGTTTTTTCGCGATATTGGAAATGCAAAATTTGTAAATAATTAAGCCTATCGGTCCTTTTGTTATACATTTTTAAAAACACTTAGTGATTCTTTAAAAAATCCAATACCAAGCGACAAGCTTTTGCCAAACACCCGTGAATATCACATGCCAAGCATTCATGATCGAGTGTAATTAATTCGGCTCTGATAGTTGTATTTCCATAACAATCGTTAAGACTAAATTGTAACCCAATACTTACATCCCTTTTTCATTCTAGATTTGTAATTCATTTCTATATTTTAATACTAAACAAAATACAGTAGCTGGTTTACAAGCAATCTATTGCTAATTTGTGATCAACAAACACCTTTTTTAATAACCTTAAATAGACATTTTGTTAAAATTAAGCCAATCGTGACAGTTATTACTTTGAACCCTTAAGATGCGTCTTATTTTTCCGCGATATATGCTTTCATATATATTTTCAATTTATCTACTTTATGAAAGTGAATGTTTATAAGATATTTATTAACTTGTGACAGAGTGTAATCGATGAAAGTGAAACGCATAAGTGAGTGCGGGTAAATGATCTCGACGCATTTCTTTGCGTTCGCGCCGGACAACTTGTGGACAACTCAGACCTGTATGAACTTGATGCTTGTTATTTAAAACACGTCTAATAACAAAATTGGAGTATACAAAGACAAGATGTTATAGTATAAATATGCTGATGTTGACGGTAATGTAACATAGATATATGGGACATAGAATAACCTAAAATTTTTCCATGAAATTGTCTTTTAATATATAACAACAATTGCTTTTTTTTAAAAACCAATTTATCTCTTATATCTGTTGCTTGCAACTTCGTCCGCGTGAAATTAAAAAAATAGTAAAAATATAGCCTATGTTGCTGACAACAACTTTTTAATGGTGCAAGAATTTTTGAAATCTGTCCAGTACTTTTTGAATTATTTCAATACATACAAAAATCCAAAAATCCAAATCTTTCCTCTTTATAATATTAGTAGTACTATCAAGGAATTTTATAATGAAATCGGACAAAAATATTTTCAAAGAAAATAAAAGCTTAAAAACGAGCTCACGGAAGTAAATTCACATATAAACCGGTGCAACAACTAAGATAGTTCGTGTGATCGAAGCAAAAAATACAACGCGTAAAAACGTAACAAGTCTGCTTGGCAAAGTTGAGCCGGCGATAGAAAGTGAATTGACGTCCACTGGACATGGGTAACGACTGGTTAATGTGCTGCTATTATAAGATATTTGTAACATCCGTTGATTTAAAAACATATGTTCATATTTTATAAAACACTAGCTGTTTCCTTGCGGCTCCATCCGCATGAAATTGTAAAAAAAATATTTTATTGTTAACATTTGTCAAATTTTCAATAGCAAATATCAAAATGATATGACATGACACACCTAGACAGACTTGCTTCCTTGATCTTGGCAGCAACATATGGTCCGTTTCCCACATTAGGGATTTTATCCAAAACATTTTTTTTTTACCCCCAAAGTTTAATCTCGTGAAAATATATAGCCTACAGCGTGACGTAAGTGTAGGGCATTTTATTAAAAAATGAATTATTCAAAAATATGTTGTGATTGCTGACATCTTAGGCAAGAAAGTGTGTGTATTTACTCTTTATTATAATAGTATAGATAGATAAACATGATTCATTCGAGCAACTCTTGTCATTTAATTATAAACGGTCAGAAGTTGTGCATCCATTTTTTTCACGTCCATATCTTACCTGATTATGTTAAAAAAATCTGAGTAACGAAAATTCCATAATTCAGGAATACTACCTAAACTGAAGGGTCGTCAGTTCAGTTAACATTGTCAGTGTGTGCTAAACCTTAACTGAAAAATTTTGCATACACGTTATTAAAAACTGCACGTATGTAGAGAGCTTAACTAAAAGCAAATTGAGATGATATTTCATACATCAGATTTAAGGTTTCCATTTAATAAATAAAGCATTATTCTTCATGCATATAAAGCACATGTTACGAATGTATTTGCTATAAGAAGACGTAAATTACAGTTCTTACGAAATGTTATGAAAATCTCGATTACATTCTCCAAGGTTAATACCCTTAAACTATATTTATATAATCAACTAAACAATGTAACATTACTTTCATAAGCCCACAGAGAAAGAAACATAAATAATATAACATTGTCCGAACCAAAAACAAAGCGTTCACATACTTTAGAAAGAAAGCCTTGGACGGTGAGAAAAAGTTTTAAAAAAACTTAATGTAGCCAGTGAAAGTCACGTCCTTGAATATTCAGAGTAAAATGACCCTTATTAACTCTTATTTACTGCACTTTTGCATTTTTGCAGATCGATTAAATAACTGATTCTTGGTACATAATATAACTTAATTCACAATAATAAATATATTCAAGAAGTATCCCTAAAAGCAACTAATGAAAATCGCGCGTTGAAGTCTTTTGCGTACTGCTATAAATTGTCGAAAGTTCAATGGTATAACATTTAAAAAAAACAAAACTACTAAAAAAATGAAAATTAAATAATATGTAGTCATGGCAACGTGTTCTTCTGTCTTTTAAAATTCAATGCATTTTAAATAGGGTCGGTTAAATTTTCTCGAAAGACAAAAGTTTATCTCGAGTTTTTAATACAGAAGTAAATCTTTAGGATAAACATAATGTAGTTATAATTTATTATAAATATTAAGTTACGCAACTTAGTGGAAAATATGACTAATTAACCTTGTTGAAAGGTCAACAATGATATCAATTGTGGCTGCAAGTTGACCAACTAAGTTTTAAGTTACATTTCAACTTGTAATAATTTTTAATATAATAATAAAAACGACCAACCTATAAGTTTCATTCATAAATATTTCATTACATTACTTATTAACAGATTGATTATTGAATTCTTAAAATGAAATCCAATATTATGCGTAAAAAGGATTTGCTTAAGAAAGTTCAGATATGACGACTGATAGAGATGTATGGAAGATCGGCACATACTGCCAACCTTCCGTAGGGACTGGAACAAGCTGATAGCAGATTATTGAAAAGGAAATTATTTTTATATTTAGTAATTACTTCAAATAATCGTGAAGCGACTGGTAGGATCTAAATCCACAATAAGCAGCGTCGAAATAACACGGTGCAGAGGGTACCGGTGCGTTCCACTGGAGATCGCGGGATCCTCAATCCGCACCTGAGGGCGGCCACAGAGGTTTTAATCTCATAACCCTGTCTTTTATAAAAGGTTATCTTTCGAATATTTCCCCCCCGTTACTAAAAAAAACAAGATCTAATCCACAAAAGCAATATTGTCAGCGTCAGTAACCATTTCGATATTGTCGTTTAATTCAACATGGCGACAGATCTATTGTATGACACATACAAGTGTTATTAAAGACCTTGAAAGTTAAAAACCTGATTGGAACAACTAGAATATGATAAGTTGTCATATTATTGTTTATGTCTAGATTTAAAAAATAGGTGTAAAAGTGGGTCAAGTTACATTTGCAATATAGTTTAGAAAGTGTATCGGAACCTGTTTGCAATCTGGATACGAGTCATTTCGCTTGCTGCGGCTGAAATGGCGGTCGCAGGACTGAGTACTGCTTAGTGAAGGGTGAAGTCAAACTAAATGTTTTCATGCTAATTCATTAATATTTCATATTCTTTTTTTTTTCATATTTAAAAATGGGTTATAATGTGTTCGTTGCTATTTTTCTATATTTAACTTAAAACATGGCTATGACTTCCATGACTATTAGGAAGTGATGCATTCACGAAATGCAAATTTAATTGGTAGAATAAAACGCAAGTAGTTTGAAGTAATAATATTAACAAGAAATATTCCCATTCAGTGATTATCAGGGCATGACTGAATTAAAGCAACAGCGCATGGTTACCATAATCGATCCGATATGTAAAGGAGACGTTTGAAAGAAGTTATAACTTATTTTTACGAGTATACATTAACAATGGTTGTTAGAAATGAAAACATTCCAAATTCAAAATTTAAAAAATAAATGCCAATCGTTTTCTTGCAAGATAGTAACAGCTAAATACTGGAAGGAATCTTGAATACTTCTCTTCGTAGGCGCATATTTCCTGAGGTATGTTAGGACATTAATAGAATTTAGAGTCTAAGCATGGCCTTATTTAAGAGTCTGTTACGTAGTTTTATAGTGTGTCTAAACAAGATAGATTAGTTTGATAAATGAAGTATATGAAGTATCAGTGTTTTTTATTTATTTCATAAGTTATAGCTATCTATAAATCTATCAATTCCAACTTCGAAAATCGATAAGATTCATGACTGATTTCACAAAACCCATCCCTACTAAATTTGAAATGAATTGTCATACTAATCTAAATTATTTAGACAAACTATAAGTCGTATCAGTATACAGTCGTATTCGGAACTAACGTTT